TAATTTAATATCACAGATTCAGAGGACAAGTGAAAAAACAGAGCTTGATTATCACCTCTTAGGACAACAGCATCCCAGAAACATCACAAAAGACATTAGAGGCCGTTAGGTAGCTGTAGTAAAGAAAGTGTGGTAAAGACAAAGAGAAGAAAACCAACAAAACATCAACACTGATAGAAAATGTGAAAGCTTAGCCAGATGTCCTGAAAAAAACCTGTGCATGTTTCTCAAGGTCTGTGCAGGCCATTCTGGTACAAGACTGCTGCAACCATATGTCACAACCAAAGAAACTGGAGAAAATAAAATAAACCTCCTGATTTGGAAAGGCAGATGGTAATTTCTTGATAGCTTCTAACTACTCAAAAATAAACTACTTCTGTTACAACCAAAAAGACACATGAGTAAATGTAAAAAGTGTATGTTATGGTATACTGGTAAGTTTTGAAAATACTCACTGGAATGAGGACAATGCTTTTATTATGCCTGGATGCAAAGAACATTTAAAATAAACTCCAAATAAGTTTCAAATAACAAAATTGTTCTTAAAAAAATAATTCTATGCATCCAACTGTCAGTTACATAAATGCTTCCTCATATGACTTTGACAGTGTAAAGAAGTATTAAAGCTAGTTTAAATGTAATTTCTATTTTAAGGACTTTTAACACTGGCAGAGTGGTAAATGAGAATGAGGTGCAATGTCATGGGAAGTGCTTTAGTGGTTAGGCTGAAAAGACTTTACAGGGTTTTTCAACTAACTAGATCACAATTTTCATCTAGGTCATCTTACAGTTATGAAATAAAAGCACAAGTGCCAATAAACCAGCATAAGAAACCTAAGTGTGAAAATGGGTGGTCTGGACTGTATCACAGAGAGGAAAAAGAAATAGCCTTTTTTGAACATAAGGGGATGCGAATTATCAGAGACATACCACGATTTCTAGCTATAAACTTAGGCAGAGAGGACAAGTCGGGCTCTGTAGAGGGGGGATTAGCTCTGTATGCAAGGATTTCCATGGATATTCTATGGAACAGAAATATTTGGGAGCCAGAGACATAACATACATCCATGGATGTAGAGGCAGCATAGGTCGTGAAGTATAATAGCAGGAGCCAATACTGACTTCTGGATTAGAACAACTGAAGGGACGCTGAAGTGGAAAAAGAACAGGAAGGCAATAAAAGATGAGTGCAACAGTAACTGTATGTTAGGTCAGTGAGAGCTGCATTGATAGTGTCTAGTGGGCATACAGTTCTCTATATCCTAATCTAAACAACATTTGACATTGTCCTGTCAAGGACTAAAAATTGTGTCTGAACCCCTGAGAAATGGTTACCACATAAATAATTTCAGCTTCATTGCAGGAGAGAAACACATGAAGAAGCCCTACTGTCTGGGATACTAAACTTCAAGAAGGGGAGGTTTTTTTAAAGGAAGTAACTTAGAAACTCCCTGCTTGAAGCTAGGAAATTAAAATCCATAGAATCAGCATGGAGGCTTAAGAATGTGAAAGAGTCAAAGATTTGCATTCCCAAGACTAAAAGTGGGAAGCAGAAGCAAGAAAATAAATGGGGTGGCTAAGCAGAAGGATACCAGAGGAAATGCAGGCCAAAAGAAAGACAGAAAGAAAGTGCTAACTTTAAAAGGCTGCAAAGCACAAACTGAAAATGAAAAATTGTTACTAAATATACTGAAGAAAAATATACAAAAAAGATAACACAAATTAAACAGCCAAGAGAAGACTACGTTTAACAAATAAGTAAATACAGTCTGTGGGAGAGCAGCTGGATTTTTAGAACAACCTGCTTATGAAAGGTAAAAGAAAGGAGACTGAAAATATTTCCAGAAATTGCTGCTCATTTGGAGTGTCCTTATTTGGCTATTCGTAGCCAAATATAATACGTATATCATCTGTACGTAGATGATTATTCTGGCTGGAATTTGATGAGTTGTATGGCCAAGGGAAGACAAGCAGAACCACGAGTTTGTACACAGATGACAGGTAAAATACTTGTTCTGGGAATGTATCTTTACTAAAATTCTAACAACAACAATACACCGAAGACCATGCTCAAGATCAGGGTGCTTCAGTCTCAAGTGTGCTGCAGAGTCGAATTTCAGTTCCTTAAAGAAATCCCAAATGCCAATTCATCTCAATTCTTCCACTTTACAAGGCTAAGGCATCAGGAATTGCATGAAAGCCACCAAAGATATCCCAGGGTGATGGTGATGGTGTATTAAGTGGTGTTCTTCCCACTGAAGCATGAGAGAGCAATGCTACAGCACAGACCTGAGAGGTCCTTCTGTGTGCAGAGGCCCTATTTCAGATGAAATGTAGACCATCAGACCTGACTGTGTCTAATCACTTGAAGCCATATTTAGGGCTAGCTGACCTATTCACATGAGGATAGGATTAGCTTCTATATGACTGTCAAATAACACCTCCATTTACCTGAAAAACAAGTAAGTAGTTCTGCTTTGGAAATAAATCAGTTTCACTTTAGAGTGCAGCCTTTGACTGTGTAAATACGTGTGTTTAAATTTCAATAAGGAAAAGCACTTCTAAGAACTAGAGTCAAAACTGAGGGGTTTTGTGTAATCATTGCTAGATGACCAAAGCACAACATGAGGATAGTGTCTTCCTGGCATCCTGCTTCCATCTGAGGCCGCAGCCTGTTCTTCCATGCACCACTTCCTATGTCTTTACAACTGTCCAAATGAATTTTTGTAACTCACTTCTTTTAAATTGGGGGCATGTTGGAAATCCACATGGAAATTAGCAAAGTATATCCTTTCTGTAACCACAACACCTGCTGTTGGCCTCTGCACAGCTGTGCCACCAGCTTCCCTTTAGGTTCTGGGTACAATTCAAAGTATTGATTACCCACGAATCCCTCACAGATGAAGGTCTATGTACTTGAGTGGTCAGCTCAGTCCGTGTGTTTTAACCTCCAGCTGAGGTCAACTGAGATTGAACTGACCTTAAAAATTTTCACGTGGGTCACAGAATTTGATGTAGATAGTTCTCTGCTCTGAAATGTTTTCCCACTTCAGTCCAGCAAAGCTGGAATGCATTGTGTTTCAAGTCATAAGGTAAAAATCTAATTCACTAGGCTCTCTGGGAGAGGAACTGATTTCAAGTGAACGAGAACTGAGTCCTTTTTTTAATTTTGACAGTTGGAGCAATGATATTGCCCAACACTTTGATGTGGCTTCCTGTATCATACTTCTCATAATGAAATGTTCCTATATTTAAAGCTTAGTTAAACTGTATAACTTAAAATTGATGTGTCACATTCACATTGTGGAGGTAGATTTCTGTTAAAAGTAACAGACAATACTGGTTGGTAGAAATATGTTTTTAGACAAACTCTGAAACGCAGAACTTGTGTTTTGGGAAAAAAAAAAAAAAAAAAAAAAAAAAAAACACAAACACCAACTGCAAATACGTGTATGCAGTCCAAACAGGAATTCATCAATTCGTTTAAATAATAATAAAAGTAATGAATGATTGGGTCCTTAGATGGCAATAATTTTTAAACCTCATATTTCTTTATGTATATATACATATATATGTTTGGTAATAAGTCTTCACATAGCTATTTATGTGCCTATTTGTGTTTGAATAGGGATGCTAGCACTTGTCTGAGGATTCCTCAGCAGAATCCTAAGAAATCTTGGACAAAATGATAACTTTCTGAACATTTTTCATATCTTTACATATTTATGTTTACATTTACATAGCTTCCTTAAAATGCTGTCTCTGTGTAAATCCATTTTATAAATGCATTTCTTTCTGATGAACTAAAGCTGATGTTTTGGTTACTTGTTTCAGAGAGTAAGTTCTACTCTTTAAAAGAAAAAAAAAAAAAAAAAAAAAAAAAACAGATAAAAAGTTGTGGTTTTTAGAAATTGAGAGAATCAAATAATTTGCAAAAAATAAATAGCAAAATAGTACAGTTCAGTCTTAGCAAAAAAATAGCTGCAAAACTATAATAGAAGAAATGTGACTTCGTGTAGGATCTGACTAGGAATTTATTATATGGACCAATGAACTCATCTTTTGTCATTTATCTCTGTAAACCTGTGAGATTTCTTGGAAGATAGTTAGTTAAATGAGGAGCAGAGATGAATCAGCAGGTATAATTTATTTAGACTTTAAAAAGGCTTTTGATGATAAAGTCCTTAGCAAGAGGCTATTAAGGAAAGTTAGTAACCATATGGTGAAAGATAAAGTTCTGCCATGGATTAAAAAGCGGTTAACAGATAAGATAAAAAGACTGGAAATAAATGGATAATTCTCCCTGGAAAGAGGTTAATAGCAAGGTGCCCCTTCATTACTGTGACTAGCAATCGATATCATGGTTCACCTGCTTTAGCAGATCATTAATAGTAAGGTACATAGCTTGTGGATAAAAATACTCAGACTAATCTGAGTACCAAAGAGAGGACCGCTAGTACTGAAATTAAAAGCTATTTGGACAACTTAGGGGTAGATAAAATTTGCCAGAGGTACTAAGTGCAAGGCAGAGTGTGTTGGAAGGAAGGGTTCATATTACTTTTAGATGGTGATACACTCTCAATGAGCTGCAATGTCTACACTTAGCTTATTGAAGGCAACTAATAACATGCATTGTAAAGAAGGAATAGGTAAGAGTGGTTCCAGTGTATGGTGCTTGCAGGAACAAGCAATTTATGATAGCAACTAACTTCAAACTGGCAGAGCCCACCAAGGTCTGCAGGGAATAGTCTTGCACTGACAAAGAGATGGGCTAGCTGAGCCCAGATTATCAAGAATTTTTGGACTGTTGGGATTTTTTAAACCAGAAAATGCAGACACATCAAGACAGAAATTGAATATGGAAATGTATCAGGCTTCATGAAGCTCTGTGGGAAAAGTTTCTGAAAGACAGACTGGAATGGATAATTTTTATCAGAATTAAACTGTGTGTTCAAGACACATTATCCCAACTCAGTAGTCCAATCTATACGTATCTACAGATTTTAGATCAAATCCTTGCTCTGACATCAAGAGTATCCCGGGAGCAGAGACCTGAATTCTGCTTTTCCTGCATGGCTGTCCTGCCCACTGGGCTGCCAAGTTCCATCCTAAGAAGTACTTAGAAGTGGATTATCCAACAGGAGAGAATGAGAGACTCTTCCCAAGGATGGACAGAGCTAAAGCTGGGACCTGCCTACAGTCAGAAAGTAGGGATCCATACTCAAGTTTCTGCTATGTTCGCTTCAGAAAAGAGGTATGAATTTGGCTCTTCTTCAACTCAGTCGTGTGTTTTCATTATTACTGACCTCCTGACTTTGGTGTGCAAATAAATATATACAACTTTTGTATTGGAGATTTGAAATCATAAACATTTTTGCAAACATTAGAAAAACACCTACTACATAGCTCTTATCTTTCAGTGTGTCATTTGACATTATCCCCGGGACAAAGAGAAGATAATTTCCCCTAGCCAGCAGTGTTGTCCGGTACAGCTTGATGCATTGAACCAGTATGCATTTTCTTTGAAGATTCAATCTTTCCTTAATATTCAGCACAGTGAGAGGCCACTGCTACAACAGCTACCTACTCAATAATATACTAGTTATCTACAGTAGCATGAGGAGGAAAGAGAGAGTCCTATATTCAGTCTGTTAATTGGAATGAAGTGCATAAGTAGTGTGCAATCGCTGTATGGATTGATGTTTTGTAATACCAACCACGAAGTACACACACAACAAGAGAAATTTAAACCATAAACAATGGTAAATGAAAATACAGTATATACAATAAAACTTAACATGTAGCAATACAGAGAGACATATAGTGTCAGCATAGGTGCTGAAATGCTCCACAAAGTGAAGAAAGTAGCTATTCTATTTGATTACTTTTTATACAATCATCTCTAATTTTCTGTGCTTCTCTCGTAACTGGACAGTGCTCACCAAGCTAACCAGAAAGCTAGCTAATTTCTTCAAATATCACTCAATGAATTTGTCTTCAAAAGAAAAGCATTCAAATAGTGAGCTTTTTCAGGGAAAGACAGGTGGAAATAGTGCATATTCATCAGTTACTTAAATAAGTTTTGCCAAAACTTGTCTCCAGTTCAAAAAATGAAAAAGATTCTGCACAGTTTTTTTTAATGAGGCAGATTTCTCACCACCTATCTTAATGTCAGCCTAGAATTTTATCTGGGAAACACATGCAGGAAATTTTGGTGAAAAGAATTTGCAATGTTTTATAACATTCATTTCTTGGCAATAAAGCACAATGAGAATGAAAACAGAAACTTAGTAACAAAACAGGTCAAACCATAATGCTTATTATACAAGAATTTGAAATGTATTTGTTAGTTCTTGTTTACTCAGTATCAGTTTGCCTACACTTAATGCAAACTGCTGTCTACTGTTAGTTTCAGCACTGGGTAAGCTGACAGTCTGGCTAGTTTACCTGCTCTGTGTTTAGAAACTGAACTGGTTTCAGCCGATGGTGTAAGAGTAGAGGCAAACCCTTTTACACCGGTCAGAAAATATGGCTGTCAATCATTTCACAGGTTATTAGCATACAAACAGGTCTGTACCTCTTCGCTGCCACAGTGCTGTAACTTCATCACTTTAGAGCACTTTTTACAAAATGCTCTCAAAGACTGCAATTCTTAAACTTTTCCTTACGCTAAAATTCTTCAGGTCTTTTCTCAGGCCTATATCAGTTGGCAAGGAAGAAACAAAACTTAAAACACCCAGCTGGATTAGTGTCCCCAACATGAAGCAAGCTGAGCGTGTTTGTTCACTGAGTTAGATGAAGTAGTGACAGAGCTAGGAACACAACAGAACCACAAGGTCCTCATTTTATACTAGCTGTCTTTTAAAGTCAGTATCACTTACTAAAACTACTAAGAAAGTACTTTATAAAGCAGATTTGAATATACTGTAAGACTGGAAGGAGAGCCACATCGTGCAAAAACACCTTTTGCCTCTGGAGGTAGGAGGAATTTAGGGGAAGAAAACACTGCAAAGGGCTCAAGCCATAGGAGTGGTTCCATGTCTACTGTCTGACACATGGGACACATTCAAGTCTCAGGAGAATGGAGTTTCATAAGAACATGAAGGAGCAGGGCAACAATATAATGCTAAGCTTGGAACCCTCTGATCTCCCTCAGAAGCCAGGAGGTTCTCAGAGCCATCAGTTCAGAAGAGGGCTTGCTGTACAGAACATGCCAGTAGCTGTCCTTGCTGGATGTCAGGCTGTGGTGTATCTCACCCAGCTGATAATTCTGAAGCAGCCCATTCTGGGAGAGTTTTCGGCACGAAGTTGATACTTGTAGCAGTATAATTTGCTGCCAGGGAGAGGGCTGTATCCCCCTTGCAAGCCTTCCTACCTACACTTTATGGAGCACAGCACTGCCAACAAGCTCCTGACAGGTCTGAAGAGGGGCTCAGTGTGCCACGAGGCTGTGCAATAATCTATTTCCATGCAATACTGGAAGATCCCCTGTCCTGTAGAAGCAATTCCTCTGCAGATATTAATACTAAGAAGTAAAGAATTAAAGAGTCATCACAATGAAGAGAAGGAGAGAATCTTGCATGGATCAGTTTTAGTACTTGTCAGCCACACAGAAAAACTTAACTCTGTGTGTCAGAACACTGATCTTCACGCCTGTGCAGAATGTGGCTTTGCACATCGTATTCAACAATTATTATTATGCACATCTAAAATGCATTATTTATCAGAGACCATGCCAAAGTATTAAAATGTGGGAAAAATATTTCCAGTGTCTCGTTTTTTAAAGAAGCACAGACTGACTCCCAATATTGAAGTCACAACAGCGTGCTGCACATATTAATATAAAAACAGGCATCATGTAATTTTCATCACTAATTGGATACATTTTTTCTGACCAATGAAAAACTACATTGCCTTGGTGTCCTACATCAGGTATAACAGATCAGAAGGACTTAACACAGTTTTCTGCTCATTTCAGAAAGCCCAGAGGAATATCACAGAAGTTCCATTAATTCTGCTAAATAATCGAATACATGAAAACTGCAAATACATGGGAAGTATTCCATCTGTGTTCTTGAAATAAATTGTCATAGTCTTTGCAAGGATATTGCAATATTGTAAAGGTTAATGAGTAATCTTATTTTTTTCCACTGTACATTACACATCTCAACAAATCTTGTTTAGGGATTCCTGGAACTTTAATACGTTCTGTCCTAACAAAATTGTCTTAACTATTTTCCAATTTTAGAATTCCAAAAATTGCATTTAATTAGCAAAGCATATTTTTACAATTACTTTACTTTGTTTAAATGTCCACAGGTACCTCTATTTTTTTTAAAGGAATTATATCCCAAATGGTTAAGATTTTACATTCAGAGACAGCTGTAATAAAGAGTTCAAGAATTCTGGGTCCTGGGTGTGTATTTAAAATTCTCAGCTAACAAGCAGGAGAGAGGCCGCTAGGAATGCTTACAGATGTCTGATTTTAAAAGGTTTGAGGTTTTTTGGTTTTGTTTTTGGTAAATTTCTTTAGTCTAATGTTATTTATTGTTTATGGCAGTTGTTTGGCATTTAAGACATGAAGTGACCACTCCCCCAAATGAAAGAATCAAGTTACAATCCATTATTTCATTTTTGATTGTTTTTCTTTGTAATAGGTGGGAAAGGGGATCCTGGATAAAAGTCCTGCCCAAGACAAGACTCCAAACTGAAGACTCCTATTATCTATAAATCACTTGTGTTTCCTGCAGAGAAAAAGGAGGGAAGAAAGAGACAGAAAAACAGAGACAGAGGATATACCAAGTGAAATATTCAATACCCGTCCTAAACCCAATTCTCTCATAAGCAGGAAGGAATTACCTGATACCTCAAAACTAAGTCTAGAAGAAACGTGTCGCTGCTGTTTTTGGTTTAATATTGAAAACAAATAACTTTTTTTTTTACTTGTTCCAGTAGGATAAGATGTGTAACAACTTACATATTTCTGAGATGATGGCAGTATATACTATGAATTATTAAAGGTTACTGTCCAGCTTACATCCTCACAAAGAAGATATGGCTGTTAATGACTGCTCTAATTTTGAAAGATTTTTGAACGAATTCTCTAGTTTTAAAATGAAGAAATGCAAGTACACTTTCTGTGCAAACCAACTGTGATACTACTAGCAGATATTACCCACTGAGGCTTATTTTAAACTGAAACCAGCAATAAATAAAATTAATGCCAAGTACTGTTTGCATAATACCATTGTTCCCAAAGTGTAACACCACACAACCTCAAATAACTACATACATTCCTAATTTATTTAAACCATTTTCAAATAAATTATATGCAAGAAAACCTGCATCTTTAAATTTGCATATTGCAGTTCTCATTAAAATGTAACGAAATCTAAGAGTTGATTTTCCTCTGAAACGTGCTTCTAGAACATGATATAGCTGTAACAAATTAGAAGACAAATTAATTTTGGCACCCACTTAAAAAAAGAGAAAAGATGAAAAGCTTTCCAAGTGATGACATGGAAGATAAAAAATACACTACCTTGGTCAAAATGAATTTCCTATCAGTTTTAAAGCTCCTGAAGTTGTATTTCCAGTAGATAAAAATATTGTCACCTTTTCCCAGGGCTGATGTGCTTTATTTTAAGTTTCTCAGCAATTAGAAACAAAGTCTGACACAATGTAACCTGTTCACACATTTCAAACTTCTCCAATAGAAATGAAAGTATTCTTTAATTAAAGGTACTGAAGATGCAAAGATTCAAAACATAAAAACAAATTTATACATTCAAATTGCATTGACAAACAAATGACCATTGTTAAAGTCCATTTTAATCTACAAAATCAATGTAGTCCCATAATATAGCATAGAAAAGCAGCAGATTTTTCTACATTGACCCAATGGGTTGATTGTTAACCCCCTCTTCATGAAAATTACTCTGAAACGTTAGTAGGAAAAAATATCCCCTCTTGCAATACTGTTCAAGGTTTATTCAGGAAGTTAGTAAAGAGACCTGTTCCAGTGCTGTAACAACCTGGCAGTGTTAAGAGTCCTCGAGGAATTGTAAAAGAGTCCCTTGGGTACACAGGCTAATTCAAAAAAGAAAACATTTTTATTTTCTGATTGAGAAATATGGGTACGTATAGCAACTTCCTCTGAATTACATCAAAAGCAACCAAAACATTAGAGGACCTGTGATTTTGCACTGTGAAAAAAAGCCCAACAGCTCTGTAGAAAACGCTACATTTAAAGAGAAGTGGTAAAGCCAGTCCCAACAGATCTCATTTGATTTTCTATTATCCTGTGCTTTTTCAGATGATTAGAGGGCTAAAAATCTGTTTCCCATATTACAGATTCAAGGCAGTCTTTATACATATATATATATATTGTTTGTTTGTTTCCTTGCCTTTTTTTTTATATTATTTGTTTGTTTGTTTGTTGATCTCAGAGCTGAAGTTGGTTAGGGCAGACTGAAATTGATTTTAAGCAAAATCCCTTCTTTGGAGGGAAAGCCATGAATCTCCCTGCCAGAACAAATGAACACAACTTACCTTGGTGTATTTGATTTCAAGGTTGAGAGTGGGAGAAGGCAGCAGATGCAGAGATGCCATCAGAGCTGCAGGATCTGCCTTCACCTCCCCTGGCATCTCAATTTTACTGGAAGTCATAGTCTTGGGGGGGGGGGGGGGGGGGGGAATATAGTACAGCCGAGCCCCCCGCTCTGCCCTGATGTTGTGTTGTGCTTTGGGTTGTACCCCCCCCCCCCCCGCCTCGAGAGCCCGGCGCTGAAGATGCTGCTGCCGGCCGCTGTATATAGGCAGGTGTCACGGCGGGGCTGCTCTTATTGGACATGGGGGCAGAGGCAGGGGGGCAGGTCCGTCCTACCTAGGGCGAGAGCGGCACAGCCCCGCTCACACGCGCGGCGCAGCCGCCGCTCCCCGCAGACTCCGCCGGGTGCCGGGGTCCCGCCGGCCCCGCACCGCCCCGCACCGCCCGCCGGGGGCTTCTCCAGAGCAGCGGGGGCCGGGAGACGCCGCGGGGGGAGCCCCGAGGCTCGGTTTCCCCGCTCGCCGCTCCGCGCCGGGAGCAGCCGGCCCGGGGCATCCCGCGGGCACGGCGCCGGGGCCGCTCCCCGTGGCTGCCGCTGCCGCGTCCCCTCGGGCTCCGAGCCGCCCCCCCCCGGTCGTGGCTGGCGGCCGCCCCCGGCCTCCCGCCGCTGTCCCCGCGGGCCGCGGCCCCTCCGCGCCGGCCGGGAGGGGAGGGGAGGGGAGGGGAGTGCCGAGCCCGGCTGCTGTCCGCTCCCCGCCGCTCCCCGGCGCTGCCCGCCCTACCTGCCGCCCGCCGCCCCGCCGGGCCCGGCCGCTGCCGCTCGCGGTCCCCGTCCTGCTGCTGCCCCCTGCCGGCCGCGCGCCCCCCGCCGCCCGCCGCTACGGCAGGGGGCCCCCGCCGCCCGCGCGCCGCTGCCGCCCGGGGGGGCCCCGGGGCTCGCTCCCCTCCCGCGGTGCCCCGGCCACCCCCGCGGCCCCCGTCCCAGCTCGCTGGGGGGAGCAGCAGGCGGCCGCAGCCCGTGCCCCGACGGGGTGATGGGTGTCGGCACCGTGTGGCCAGAGCCCAGCGCTCCCTGTGGTCAGAACTTCCAGGCAGAACATACACGAAGCGCCCACGGTTTTTGGCACTTCGGGCAAAACCACCAAGTTCACTTTCCTGCTGCAAACACTCCCAAGGTTTTGAAAGCGATCAGACCCCGTGTTTGCAGACAGTGTGTTTGCAGTTATAACGTTGCAGGTAGATAAACAGAGAAAGGACACCAAAGCGTGCAGCTGTCCCAGGCTGGCACAAACAAAGCAGCAAGAAATACGCCACATGACCTTTTTACTGACTTAGTCCAGAATAAACAAGAGGATCTGGCCACGTTTTGATTTTGTTACAATATCCATTATGTTGAGTCCCTGGATATTCCTTGCTCCTTGTTTAGTGGCACACAGAGGATTAGAAAGGCAGGCAGCGCACCCTTAGTGTTTGCACAGGAGCACGGGACAAGGATTGCTCCTGCACAGGCATGTAGCACAGGATCCAGAGTGCCATTTAAGGCATTTCAGCGTTAACGTGCACCTCTGTAAATCTCCAGCTCAATAATGAAGAAGGAAACTGAAGATTTTGCTTTTTGTCATTTTTCATAGTTCTTCCCCCCCCCCCCCAACAGAGGAAATGGATCCAAAACGCTGTGCTGTAATGTGACACGCAGAGCTGTCAAATTGTGACACTTGGGATAAGTGAGACTTTTAAACGTCAGAAATTCAGTTTTTAATGGCACCCTGGCAACAAGACCTAACACTTCATCACAAGGATGACACATTCTAAAAGCTGTTTTAAAATAAATCAGAGTGGGGATGTGCTCCTTCAAAAACGGACTGCATTAAACAGGTTTGAGGAACCAGAGAACTGTGTAACAGTTTCATTCTTAAATCGAGTCAATGAAGTTTGCAGGAGATTTTGGTGAGACTGGATTCTAGTGCATCTGGAGATGCAGTTCAAACCCACGTAATTAGCAGCATAAGCTCCTAATTGTCACCAAGCTCCTGTGACTCTATCTGTTTCTTGCTATCCTGAGCCCCCAGCGACTCTTTGTTGTACAAACCATGCTTCTCTTACGTCTGAAAGCAATTCAGACTGCAAAAGATCTCACAGCTGAGTCACCTGCAGACTAACTGCCACCTAAACCCCGCCAGCATTCCCTGAGTGGCGAATGGCACTGCACTTACCGTGCCGCAGCTCCTGGTCTACAGCCAGCAGAACGTGGCAGACACCTGCCTTCACTCTTCCCAACAGCGGGTGTCCAACTGGGGTTTCTCTTCCTCCACCTGGAAAGACAAACGACTGTAGGCCTTAGAGCCAAGACTGCAACTGGGTTCTCATCAAGTGCAACAGCAGCTTTGCCAAACAGCACTTGGAGCGAGGTCTGTGACACGGTGTGGGACACACTGGGAATCCAGCCTGGTGAGCTGGTTCAGCCCTTCAGCACTACCCTGGCTTCTATATGATAGCAAATTGAGATATGGCTTCAGATCATGCAAGTTAATAGTTAATTATTAATATTTAATGCAATTTCTTTGTAGGAGGGATTGCTACCACTGTTGCCTTGGACATTAGGACAATAACTTAGTAATAACAATGAATACAGGGGTAAAATGATCTAATTTGTGGAAGAAAAAACACCACTGAAATGGACAGTGGATACATTGACCCCAGATTACAGAGGCGTTCTCTCTCACTACTTCAGTTCCTTGCTCCATTAATATTTCTTATGCTCCTTAGTGAGCTCCAGACTCTTTCTAAGCACTGACACACACAAAGGAACTGAATCACATCTTCTGTCAGACACTTCTAGTGACTCATTTCTAGATCAACTTCAAAACCTGCCCCCCAGTGATTTTGATCTGACCCCTAAGTTTTATTTTATACATAGTTCTCTCTTAGCTGTCTTTCTGGTGTTTAGCAGCGTTATCTGTGGCTCCTCATGCAAATTCAGTACTGATTGAGAGAGCCTACTCCTCTTCACCTTTTGCCTTATGCATCAGTAAATGTCCCTCCCATTTCCTATGTGCTTTAGAAATCAATTCTGGGGGAAAAATAGGGGCCAAAAAAAAACTTCCACGAACTTATTTTTCAGCTCAGATTTGCACTTTTGAAATCTGAACTTCATGTTCTGATATATACAGTAAAAGCTTCAGCCTCAGGTGTCCCCATTTTAATTGCCTGCTATTTTCATTACTGACTATGATGGCAGCAAATGCTCTTCAGGAGATACTTGTATTTTAATTTATCTGCAAATATAAATCACACATTATAGCACTTTTTTTCCTCTAAGTTAATTGAATCAATTCTCTAAATGTCTCTAAGCCTGATCATTTGAAAGAGGTTCACTGTTTGAAATCTTTTAAGAATTATGGCCCTTGAATTGTGCACAGAGTGGTATCAGTCCTTGCTCCAGATAGAGGTATTTTATACACAGAAGATAAAAAGTAATACATATAGGCAACATTACCTATAAAGTAGCACCCATAATGCTGGAATGAACCTATAAAGATATTATGACAGAAATGTTGCAAATATCCCAATTAATTCATTGCCTTAATATTATAAGTCTTGTTAATAATTGGTTAATAATGGGTCTGGATATATTTTATGTTCTAAAATCTACTTTCATTTTCTTTATTTCTACATTACACTTAACATTAAAAAAAAAAAAAAGTAAAAGCTGATATCAAGAACAACCATTTTTTATTACTTAAAATCTAGGAATGGCAAGTGAAGAAAACTTGATTTAATGTAGTTTTTACTAAAAATAAATCCA